CCCCCCCCCCCCCCCCCCCCCCCCCCCCCACTGCTGGACTTCTCTACTAGAGAAGAACCACCACCACCACACAACTCACGTGGAGTATTTTTCCTTCACAAATCTGAGCAGCTCTAACCTTCTTGCAATTTACCTGAATCCAGTGGGGTTTGTCCCTGTTAAAACGGCACAGGACGAAAGACAGAAAATAGTGATATGTAAAAAAAGTTCATTTTATCCCAGAGTAAGAATTCTCAAATAAAAGTGTATGAACAGACATAGTAGGATGGCAATCTTAAGAATGAGAAACATGAGAATACCACTGAGACAGGTATTTGTAAAAACAGGGGTATCCCCGTTATCCAGGCATGCGCCCTTTGCATTTCTAGAAACGTCCAATGCACCTGAAAAAAAGAAACCCCTCTGGAAAAGGCAAACAGTTACTCCTTGAATGGAAAAGGAAACAAGCCACAGATAAAGACTGGAAGTAATTTCCAAGCCTTACTATAAACCCCATGAGAAGAGTGGCCAAGTATCAGACAAAAGTAGGCTGTTCCGTATCTTAACAAAACGGTATTTTAACTTATCCTTTTCTCAGGAAAATTGAAAGAGTTCAGAATCAACAACAGGAACGCACTGAAGCCAAGGCTGATCCGACTGTTCAGAGGAGAGAAACGCTTCGACCGCTCAAGTGAAAATCAGAAACCCTGTCATAGTTTGTGTTTGGAATTTAAAAAACATGTACCTCACCTAGCAGTAAGTGCAGCAACACAGCTAAAGCCAAACTAAGAGAAGCTGCAAAAGAACCAGGAACCACGAACCTCCCTGCGAGCAAGTGAAGCGTGTGAAGAGACAGACTGAGCCGCAGCCGGCGCGCAAGCTGGAGAGAGGCAGGGCAGTACAGGGACCTGCACTGCGCCGTCACGAACAAATCCCAGCAATGTAACAGTGACGGCACCTGCAAGTCTCATCTTTGTTAAAGGAACCTTGACAGCGCTCACATCTCTAATTAGGAAGAGTGAGTAGCTGGTGAGGATGCTTTGTTAGAAATTCAACCACCAGCATTTGTTCATTGATTGCACATGGCACTGCTCTTGGGGCTTCTGGGCTCTGGTCCTAGCAATTTACATCTCAACTTTCTTACTTCTTTGCTTGATAAAGGTAACTCCTCAAGAGCAGGGGATACACTTGTACTCTTCTAGGTTGGAATTTAAATCCCCCCCCCCCCCCCCGTAAAACACATAATATTAATGTATACTGTGTGCCTTATCTTTTTTTAAAAAAAAAACAAACACAAAAAACACCAAACAAAAACCCCCCACTTTTTCTGGTATTTTATTACATAAAAAGTTGATTGTCCATTGGAAATTTTTCACAAAGTGCAGCCACATCTGGTGTAGTATCACTGACAAACTGTTTTTTCTCAAAAGGACAGCTGGGTTAAAAATGTAACAGTAACTTTGAAAACTCAGTTATGGCACTGGAACAGAGAAACCACTAAGCTGAGGGCAGAAAGGCAGCAGACATGTAGCCGTCATGAAAGCAGATGATTTGCCATGTATATCTGTACAGCACTGAAAAAATACGGAAATAGTAAGAGCTATGATCACCGCCGTACTTGTTGAAATTAGCTTTAAAGGCTGTATCTGAATTGCCTGTATGTAGAGCCAAAACTCTGTTACTGGAAGTCTGATGAGACTCAAATGCAGAATTCAACATCTGCTCGGCTACTTGCACAACATCAATGACCTTAAGTAACTTTTTGAAGATCTTTATTTTTAGATATACATATAAAAGTGATACTGTGTTCAGGCCTCTAAAATCATTACAAAATAACATCTGCTCACTGTACCAGGACAAGTGCTAGGGTCTCAGAGACTTACTGGTTTTAAAAGGGAACGTAAGCTGTTCTGGAGTAGTTACGAACTGCAATACCGGAGAAAGACTGTCTGCTGAAGAAGTTCCTGCCAGACTGCCACATTATACTTACTACAATATTTTAATTATTTGTAATTATTTGTTGAGTGTAAAGCATGAAAAAGGGAGAAGAAAAATAGAAGACAACAAAGCTACTTGAAGGCAGTATTTTGTATTTTATATCAAAAAGCAACCCTCAAGTCATCACTCCCATTAAACACCAAAAAAAACCAACCCAACACTTTGAAATTGAAACAAGCTATGTGGCACAAAACATGCCTGCATTTGGCACAGGCAACTTAACGACTCAAAACAACCCAACCAAAGACCCAGTCAATCGGCTGGCTGAATTTCAACAAAGCTGCCCTCTCCTCCTCTGAATTACACAGGCAAAAGACCCAGCCTACTGTAAATGCAGATTTATCAATGACTAAAACAAGTATCTGTTCTCAAAAGTTGGGCTATAGCTATAGCGTAGTAATTGTTTCTCCTCCTTAGCTAATTTGCCTTTGTATTGTTTGTATACTGTTTTGCGTTGCTTAATTATTTGGCTCAGGAAGAGCCCAATTTGATCAAAAAATAAATCATGTTTATCTTTCATAACATTAGGAAAGCTACAGAAACTGCATTTCCACACGTTTCTGATCATAATCTGAATTGCCATCTCTATTTGTTGTAAAAAGAAAAAAACTACTCTCCTATTTACAGTTTCATCTGACATCTGTTCATCTCTTGAGATGAGAAGCAATATTCTTTAAAAAAAGGGAGGCACAAACCCAGAACATTTGACAAAATGAAAAATTAGTGATGAACAAGAAATTGACTGCACATCTCTCCTCCATGCAATGCGATATCCAAACATCTACAGAGACTCTCCTCAACTCTGCTACACATTTGGATTAACAGTAGAATACAACAGTAATACAGTTAAACCTGAAGAAATACACGAATTTCATTTTTCCACTCAAACAAAGGTCTGCTTAATGAAGTGTGGCAGGAAAGGTTTTGTTAATCCTAAATTCATACAAATTTAATTAAAATTAAATAAAAACAATCACCTGGAACCATCATGAACCTCATTTAGTCCTTAAGTACAGAAACCAAAAATGAGTTAGTCTGTGTCCCAAATATCTAACGCATAGTTATTTAAAAGGTTTTACTACTCAGTGAAGCAGTACGTTTAGTGACATCTTTTATTTCAGAACAAGCACTCAAAAAGTCACAGCTCCGCACTTTTGATACTGAAGTATTCTGCAAGATCAACCATTATGGTTCAAATAGGACTTTTTATCCAAAACACTTGGATTTTAGCACCTTAAATAAAGAGTCAAAGTAACATCTTAGGAGTATCGAATGATGACAGTTAACACTGTGCTCATCCTCAGGAAAATGATGCGGACCACACATACTGGGTGCATTTAGTCCCTAACAGGTAGTAAGGCAGAAGGGAAACAACTCTAAGCGGTGCATTTGACTGAATACAATCTCAATAATAATAAAACCCTCCCAATTACACAAAGTCTTCTGAGAAGAAGTCGAATTTGCTCCCATACATCAAACTTCACAGTATTCAAATCAAATGTTCATTTACAATAAACCACGCCAGTCAGGAATCTGTACCCAAAAAAAGTATAATTGATTATTAAACATCAGTAAGTGATACGTCTAACTCAAAGTTTCACTCTGTATTATAACTACTGCTTTTTCAAAGATTTAAATAAACCCTTTAACCAGTAAACCAAATTAATCTCAGAGTTAAAGCTATTTCTTCCAGCTCACTGTCTAGATAATGGGGCACACCTAACGTGTGCTTCCACAGGCACCGCTCCTTGGCAGCAGTAGCAACCGGAATGGGACAAATCCGACTGTTCCTTTCACCCCAACACTGCTCACGTGGGTTCTGCAATTCCGTAACACCCCAGCATCCCTTCTGATGAGCACAGAACCTCCTTCCTGCACTGCTTTGGAGTGCATTAGCCAAATGTCCGCCTTAGTTTCTACCACGCTTCTGAGCCCTTCCATGGATTCGTGGGGATGCACGGAAGGGGTTTTGCCTATTTTAAAGAAACAGGCAGTCTAACCAGACACGTCCTAAATGCCATAATTTCATGCACCTTTGGCCACTGTAAGACTATTTTTTGCAATTTTAGGCAGTTTTGCAAACTGCGTCTAGCAAACTGGCTTCCAAGAGAACTTTTTAGCACTGTACTCTGCTATCTACCAGCAGCTATGAATCAATGACCAACCTGCGTACCCAAGATGGATGTGGCTACTACAGATGAACATCAGTGTATTCTGTGACTGTATTTCTTCTTTTCCACTTAAGTTTGTGATGTTAGACACAGATTTGTATGTTAATTTTAAACAACAAAAAAAAGCATAAAAACCTACAAACTAAAGTAGTCAATCACTGATATTAAACATTACCTTTCCTGTAACTAAACAAATGGCCAACATTAGTAAGTAAACTGGTGTATTTTAACACAGAAGTCTTTTAACCTCAGCAACCTCTGCTTCTTCCCTTCCCCCCCCCCGCCCCGTAAAGCCAGAAACTGGTATGGAAAATTAGTTTCCCTTCAAGGAACAGCAGAACAGTATTGAGTCTGGTTAACTTGTCCGTCATAGATCCTCTCTCTGTTTGGTTGCTCGGTTGTCCTCTTTGACACTATTAGATTTCTTGTCTGCATCTTTTTTCTTCTTTGCTTTTTCAGGTTTGGTTTTGTTTTTCACTTTCTCACTTTCTTCTGCTCCTTTGCCAGGATAAACCTGACCTTCCAGAGTAACATCCGCACACCTTTCCTGATTTATCAGAAAGTCTTTGATCTCCCAGGCGTAACCTCCATCACGAAGCATAAAGATGGCACGGTTTGAGCCAACGATAAACCTACAGGAAAGACACACACTTCTTCAGTTAGCTCTGTGCCTTTCAAGCACTACAATGTTTTGCTTAATTCAGAGCACCTCCACAACTAAGGAACACATTTAACAGAAGTTGGTCTCATTGTTATTGCCTGGGGATGGGGACAAGAGAGCAATTTTCCAGCACAAGTAATAGTAAAATGCATGAAGTTTACAAATAGCCAAGGAGGAATAAGAATACGAAGAAAACTTAAGAACTTATTCGGCACTACGTAAAATCCACTAATGGGCATTGAATTTGCTTTACACACTTGCTACAACTCTTCTCAGCCTCAGTTCAAGAGCACAACATTCCTCTGTTTCAAAATGATCCTCTCCGCGAGAAAAGCCACATTTTGTAGTCAGGGGAACAAAAAGCCTTTTGTGGTGTCAAGTCTTCCAAGTGTGATATTTTCCATCAAGCACATAAAGGCAAATTACTGCGGCTAAAATTGATAAATAGCTGAAGTGTAATGAGATAAAAAAGGAATCTGGCTATATATACATCATGTGTAAGTGTTAAAGAGATTTTTGCACCACACCAGAGTTTTTGTAGCGTGACTTAAAACAGATTGGCATATAAACTGATACAGAAACAAAGGAATAGTGTCGGATGATGGAGGTGGGGAAGGGCACAGAATGAACAGCTGAAAAGATTTTCAGGAAGGAAGAAACAAGGGTTCTGTAAAAGCAAGAACTTTATCCTTGCGCACACCAGCTTACCTTTGCACATCATAGTTTGCATTGAAGAGACTGCCCTGCCACAAGCTAGTAATTTCTTCCGTCTCCTTTTCTGTTGGATTTCCTGACACCGTGACAAACATCATCAAAGTCTTCCCCTTTTTCGTCAGCTTCAGGATACTTTCAGGCTTGCCCGGATCAATTTTTGAGAAATCTATTGGTGCTGGAGGCCTCTTGTGTTCGGGAAGATCCCCTTCTTCAATGTCATCATCTTTCTGTTTTGAAAAGGAAAAGCAGGCATTAAACTTCACTGTTCCACAAAACTGTTCCTTTTTTGAAATTTCCCATTCTTTAGAAAGTAACTCTTTTTTGACAAAGTATTTTTTAGTTTAATGATGGAGATTCTCAAACCAAAAGAAATAGTGAGTTTTGTTTCAGGATACTTCATCAAGAGTGCTCTTTCCATTTATAACCCTCCCCTCAAAATGATGCACATTTTCATACTGACAGGTAGAATCTCATTTCACCATGTACTGAGAAATATTTCAGACTCCAGGTTAATTCAATACAATTCCACCTAGGTACTTCATAAAACAACACTTTTTCCTTCACAGTTTCACAGAAATTTATTAACTATACAAGATGAACTGAGAAAGCTGCACTAAAAAGCCTCAAGCTGCACTAAAATGCCTCATGCACACATAAATACAAAAGCGTTCATCTGCATATTGCTTTCCGAGGTCAAAACTCACTGTTGGGAATCATGCAATCACTTGAGAATTTAGTTTTCCTTACTTTGTGCCTTTTAACAAATAAACCCACAAGAATACAGAATTTCAATGCCACAGGACAACCTTTATTAAAGGTTTCAAAACTTTTCTAATGAACAAATGCAGCTCACAGTCTGACAACATAATCACCAAGAATTCTTTCTTCTTAGAAAAAAGAAAAAAATACTCTTGATGCCTCTGCTGAGGTTGACAGGCATTTAAATATTTGGCAAGGCAGAATTCAAACTGTTGCCCCTTAGAACAGCTCGCGACAGGGAGGAGTGAATATAGTGACAACTTACATTGAGCTACAACTTGATTTCTTAAACAGTGTTTGTATCATAGAATTAAAAAGTAAAAACAAAACAAAACGGAACAGAAAAAAACCCACAACTCTTATACCGGCACCCACCCAAGCACTAGTAAATGAGCAGGAACTAAGGCAGGTATTTCAGGTTTTGTTCTGACTTCCAGCATTTAGTGAAAATATGCATCACTCCATTAGGAACACGAACTGTAGCAGTACCTAAAGATACTCCCTTCAGAAGCCTCAAAGGTCAGGAGGCGAGCTTGATTTTAAGATCTAAGTATGCATTACCTTCTCATCTCTGCACACGCGTCTATACAAACTCAATAGCACCCTCTTACAACACCCCACTGCAGGATGAAGGAGCGTCCCATACCCTTTAACAGTTAAGGTTTCATACAAGTGACCTGCGTCCTTTTCCCATCTCAATTATGTACGGTTTGCTGTCCTTCTGACAAGAGAGTTAAAATTTAGTTACCACAGAACAAAAGTTGTGGGAGTCTTAAATTTTATCCTTTCTTTCCTTACTAATTAATTACCTATCTGTTTCAATTTTGCAAGTCTGAAGCATGCTTTCACGTAGTTCACACGCCTTTGAAAATTCCATAGTAAGTGAACTGGGAGCAAAGTCCCAGGAAAGTCCCACTGCCCTCACGAAGGGGGAACAATACTTACCTTGGAGGAAGCTGGAAAATGCTCATACTGATTAAGTAAAGTGAAAATAATAAAAAAAAAATCTTACATGATTAAATGAAAGACATTCCTCACAAGTAAAAGCAAATCAATCCTAGGCTGGTTTGGCTAGCACAAAACCAGCTTATTTCAGAATTTTGAAAGGCAAAGGAAGACAAATGTTTCCAAATACTCCTTACACAACACAGAAATTGACTTTGGATTTAGTGACAGCACAACCTACTAACATACAGTACCTTTTTTTCCCTTAACTATTCAACTAAATGCTCATAAAACTGTATTGTTACAGTTCGAATAGAACTATTATAAGCAGTGGTCAAAAGCTGCCCTACATAACACTTCTTCTCTTGATCCTGTACAAACTCACGCAGTTTCATATTTGTAAAGCTATCTACAAAGCAAAAGACTGTGTAAGCGTTTGCTTTGAAATGTCTGGCAGATTCATTCCTTTAAACAGTAACATGAGGCTTCAGAGGCAAAGCATCACACAGACACAGTAATAACTATATATTCCTCTCTTTCTCCTCCCCTCAGCTCCCATTCTCATGCATTTCTCATCAATGCCCTGGATTTCTATTTTTAAAAATACTAGCAACATACGTCGCCTAATTCCTCAGACTATTCAATAATCTTAGCTCAGAGTCAAGCCTGAGAAACCTTGAGCTTATAACAATAACAAACTATTCAAAGCACATGACGTTTCAGTAACAGAAAGACCTCCGGAGGAGGTTCTCAGTTCTGTTTCCACCTCCCCTGGACTCAAGGCTGCTGGAGAGTCCCTTTCCACGAGGGAAATCCCTAAGTGGCTTCCTTCAAGCTCCAGTTGTGCAACTGAGCTGCTGAAGCAACCTCTACCTCTTCTTCCCCTTCCCCACACTCATTTTCCACTAGATCACCCTCCCAGCTCACCGGGCAGCCACATACGTGGTTGCACCAGCACGGTGCAAGGGGCAGGACAAGAAGCTGAGCAGAGAGGTGGCCGCTTGCTCTGGGAAGGCTGCTGGAGCCACAGCCTCAGCCAGGCTCCTGGCTGACCCCAAGGGCGCTGCAGCCACCATCCTCCAATGCTTTCAGAGTAATTGCCAGGGAAATAAAAAAGTATTAGGAGTCACCTCACTCAGCTGAAAGTAAAATCACAGAATGCTTTGGGTTGGAAGGGACCTTTAGAGGTCATCTAGCCCAACCCCCCTGCAGTGAGCAGGGACATCTTCAGCTAGATCAGGTTGCTCAGAGCCCGGTCCAACCCGGCCTTGAATGCTTCCAGGTATGGGGACTCCACCACCTCTCTGGGCAAGCTGTTCCAGAGTTTTGCCACCCATTACCAGAACCAGGCAATGACACTTGATTCTGTACAGATCTGTGCCCCTCACTCCCGAGCACAATTCCTGCTCTTATCCAAATTCATAACGCCCCCTTTGTTTCTCACCCCACCCCATCAAGTCAATGCATGCCCTTTCTTCTCCTCCAGCCTCCAGCCACCACCCCCTCAAGTCTTTCATGTTCCTTGTATGTGTCCTAACTACCATCAGGCAAAATGCCGTACAGCTGACCGACCCGAGGACCAAACAACTCGTAATTGTTGAGCCTCTGCTTCAGTAATTTCTTTTCTTCTAGGGCTTTGGCTGTAAGCGCATTGGCTGTAAGCGCATTTCCTCAGCGGCAACGCCAGCCCCAGCAGCTCAGCTGCATCTGCGTGCAACATGGCTCCAAGCATTTGTGCAGCACATGGCGAACTGGAATCTGCTCCAGCTAAAGAGGAAAAACCCCAAACAGCTTCCTCACCCGGCTGGAACTGAATACACAGCCAAAGAGTCACGACATCATTAACTTGAGTCTCCTTTCATCCAAGCATCTAAACTCAGAGATGCCCAGCTTTAAGATTTTTCCTGCAGTGCCAAATTTGGTTGAAGTTGGCCAGTATTATCAATTAAGCCTTGATTTTTTAGCAGCTGGGAGGATGGGGCCAAACTCTCTTCAGTGGTGCCCAGCGACAGGACAAGGGGCAATGGGCATAAACATAGGAAGTTCCACCTTAACATGAGGAAGAACTTCTTCCCTCTGAGGGTGACGGAGCACTGAAACAGGTTGCCCAGGGAGACTGTGGAGTCTCCTTCTCTGAAGATATTCAAGACCCACCCTGGACGCAGTCCTGTGCAGCCTGCTGTAGGTGACCCTGCTTCGGCAGGGGGGTTGGACTAGATGACCCACAGAGACCCCTTTCAACCCCGACCACTCTGTGATTCTGTGATCCAGTCCTTGGCTGATACCACTAACAGAAAAGCAAGCTTTGAGCTGATTACATAATTTAAAATTTTAACTCACTTTTCTAAGAATCTCCCTTCCTAAAGGGAAAGACACAGTAAGAGTCCACGGGATGAACAAGTCCATAACCTGCTAAGCTGGTCCATGGCAGACATTCTCACTTCTCACAGAAGTTACTTTATTTACATTACATGTACGAAATCTACTCCTCCACCTCAACTCACAGCTGCAACTGGTGTTACAGGAGACAGAAGTTTTCTCTCCATTGTTTCCTCCTTTTTTTTGTGCAAAACATTCTGGGGAACAGCCTCATGGGAAAGAATAAAAGACGCTGGTGAGTGCTCTGGCATTTATCAGAAGGCGACGGCAAACAAAAATAGCAAAAAGAATGGAAGAGTGGCATGACAACCACAGGGAGAAGAGAGTGATGGGGAACTGTCAAAGAAAGTTAAGGCAGCAGGTTGACAGAGATGAAGGCGGACAAGGGAGAGCTGGAATTAGACTTCGTTACCATGAGGAATGGCACAGAGGGAAACACCAAACCAAAAAAACAACTACATATCAACTCTGTTAAGCTGAAATGAGTATTCCTCCAGCTACCCACCCTCAGTCAGAACACACATACCCTTACCACGCTGAAACACCAGACATTTCAGTCAGACCAGGCCGACGGCAGGCACCGAAAGCACTGCGGGCCCAGGCACGGGGAGCAGGGCAGGCTGCGGGCACCCGGGGCGAGGGCAGCCC